TTGTGAATAAATCCACGAATGCACTCATATGTTAAGAAAAGAGGCAAATGTTCCTGTTTTGTAAGTGAAAAGATGAGGAGCCGAGGTGTTTCACATGAGAGCAACACAGATGCTGCCTGGGTAGGATAATCAGAGGCATACTGCTGAGGAACCAAAACATCAGCTATCCTTAAATTGCTTCTTATCCTATTCCTTTCATGCTTTTCTAAATTTATTTTTTATTTTGTAAATCCACTTTTGTCCCCTGATACAGCACTTTGCATGTTTATTCATGAAGTTACATGGAAAGGACTAGCTTTCCTCCCCATGCACTACAATAGCTCATACTATAAACTCATTTCTGATGGGAACTTCCTAGCAGGAAGTGCTCGGAAAAAAATTTGTCCTTAGTAAATGATTTTTCCATCAAGTGCATTTCCTAGGAAATTCATGTCATAAGGCTAAGTAACTGAATTGGATAACAGGCAGTGTTCTTCCAATCTCCCGAGCAGAATCCATTTGGATATCCAACACATTTAATGGGTCATGTTCTGCTTCATTAGATGGTCTGTAGCTCCTGAGCAGCAGGGAAGTAGGTCTCTATTTCTTATGAACTATTGCATGTTCTCATTCCTATTGGGGAAAAGCTCTTAATGAACATTGAGTGGCCTTCCAACTGAAACAGGGTGTTTAACAGAAATGCCCATCAATAAATGGTAAAATAACCTTCTGTTGCAGAAAACTGGCCTTGTTCATTAATCATTTTCAATTCTTTAAGCTGATAAAGACATAATGCATAGGAATGAGATGCCAACAGCATGCACTAAAAGACAGATAGTTTCTCTCAAAATGATTATTAAAATGTGTTACCCTCTTTTAAGACCTTATTCCCCTCTCCCAGTCCCAAATAGCTGGGCTGAGATTAAAGCTTCAACAGACACAGGAGATGATGGCTGTCCATGTGGTGGATGAACGTGGCTCTGCAGAGCCTGCAGGTCAGGAGGACCTCTCAGGTGTGCCCCCCGCGACCAGCCCCTCGCTGGTGGGACCGTGGTCTGCAAAAGCTGTATGAAGTTATACCTCCTTACAGCAAAACCTTCATTTATTCCGTATTCATTATTTATAATACATAGTTTTCTTCTACACAAACAGATCGCATACTGACATTTTCTCTAATTAAGACAATTTGGTGTATCTGCTTATTTGATGAAAAGCATAGATTAAGGCAATTTACAGACTCTTCACCTTGTTCCTTCCCTGTTTTTCATTTCATGCTGCACGTCTTGTCACCTGAATCACACGTCAGTTTTTCTGTTTCCTGATTAGATAAATAGTAACTTTAAAACAGGAGAACAATATATGTGGGGCGGTTATTTAAAATGTGGGGGTGTTCCAGGAAATGTTTTCTAAACTTGTTTTATTGCAGAGATTTACAAAGCACTGAAGACAATCACGTATAAAATAAACAAAAAACCCCAAATATAAAAACTGTAGTGCTGTGAAAGAGCTACTCTAATTTTTTTTACTGTTCTCAGGGTACCCAACACCAAAAAGGTATCTTTTCCTTTTAAATATTTGGTAACTTTATACTTTAAAAAGTAATTTCCAATATCTAATAATAAAAGGTAGTGGATACTGTCCTATTACTGTTTATGTCTGAAAAGTCCAGCAAAGGATAAGAAACGTTGTTAACACACGAAGTGTGAAGTTCTTGAGCTCCTCATAGCTGGAAGGAAAAGATTTTATTTACTACTGTTGGAGTTGGAGCCCCAGACCTGCAGGTTTTAATTTAAAATATTAACCAGGAAGAGATACATTTGAAATTTCTGCATCTCCTTTCACTAAAGGAATGTTTATTTCATATTTGAGGTTTTACAGATTCTCTAGGGCTAGGAATAACAAAAATAACAGATTTCTCCTTTTGATGTGGAAGATCAATATTGATGTAATCTGGATAGAGATGCTGCAGTATCTCCTGCAGGCCAGCTGACACCTACAGTTATTCCCCAGATATTCCGATACATCGTTAGGGCAAAAAGCCAAACAAATTGATCCAATAGAAAAGAGACGGTATCTATTGGTGAAGCAGTTGCTTGTGTTGGTAGAGAGTTTAAGGAAGAGTTATGGGCAGTAGGGCAATGTGGGCAGTGTGGCATCTCCACGGCTTTGAAACGAAGGCTGTGCTGCATGCACGGTGTTGCGCAGCAGTGATAACGACATAAGGCAAGCCAGCCAGCGCAGGGTGAAGATTCTAGTATCTGGTTTCATAATTGTTTGTTTCCTAGCTCCTCTGAAGGACTTCAGACAAAGTTTCTGAATATCTGCTTCTGAACTGTGTAACTGAGGGTGGAGATGCAACTGGGGACATGCTTCTGAAAGATGAGAAATGCACCTGCCAATGGAGTTTATTTGATCTTTGTGCATGCCCCCCACACTGCTGCAGGATACAGCCGACAGACGAGTATAGCTCTTGAAAGTGAAAGCTATTTGCGTCAGGTCCTTGAGTACCAAACCAGAAATAAGTATTCTTTCAGCTGCACGAAATTATGGTAGAAATATTTCTGACATTATAATACCCCCAAAAAAAAGATTCAGCAGAAGCGCACAAGAGTTATATACTACCTGTGCAGGTCTTACTGGGATTTAATTTTTATCTGGACAAGCAATTCTGATAAGATACCAGCCAGCAATCCAAGAACAGCCAATAAAAGAAGAAAAAGAACCTTCCTAAAGTTCAAAGATTTTAGAGTGCATGAATGGAAACAAAACTACACAAAAAGCATTAAATTTAACCAACTGAAAAACTTCACATAGATTGAGAAAAGCAAATATTGCTGGTACCATCTCACTTGTAGCTGGATCTGAACAGAATCCTAACTTGGGAGTCATTCAGTGGTGCCTCTCTAATAGCAGTCATGACTTAAACATTATTCTAGGCATGCTTTTATATCTGTGTTTTCTGTATCACCTGCTATCATACTGGACCAGTAGTGCAATAAATTCCCTACAGACCTTGTGGGTCTCATATTCCAACATCCTGTTTTATTTCTTGATCCTATTGCATGAACTGGTGTCTTGAGACTGGCAGCATTAATTAAAATAGCAATAATTCTATGGCTTTGAATTTTCCTTGAACGAAACAAAATTTCAAGTTATATAAAGCACACTAATATAAAGTCTCTTCTGGCAACTAGACAGAAGGGTCAACACTCTAGCCAAGAATGGTAATTTTCATAAAGTACTCATATCCCTCTTCTCTAAATAGGCACTGGCAAGAAAGTAGTTCTATTTTAAAGCAAATAACCTTGCATATTACAGTGCTCCGGCACTGTTTTACCTCTGCCATAAAATCTCAATTGTAATGAATTACCCTTTTCGAAAATTCGTATCCAAGATAGATCTATATGTGACACAAACCCAGACTGGATTATAGTAATAACTCTTTGTAGACAGTAAGGAAGAATATATAAAAATATATAAAACATATATGTATATCTACATGTACATACATACACGTCACCACACTTTTACGCTTTATATCAGTGCATTAAGTCTCACTATAAAGCTGCAGCAGTTACAGTTGTAGTGATAAAACTCCCGTGGGGGTTTTGCAGGGGGAGAGGAAAGGGAGGGGATGTGCTTTGTTACTCCTGCCAGTCCTGCAGAGCTGTGGCAGTCTGACTGCAAAAAACCTCAGCTGCCTTCCTAAAGAGCAATTCTATTTACTTGTGGGCAACTGCTAGAGCAAATCAACTCACGTGACTTCAGAGAAAAAAACATAACTAATATATGTCAATAGAAGCCAATATATACAGAATAGTTAAATGACCACATATACTGAATAATTAAATGTATTGCAAGGAGAATAAGCTACATTTTTTTCTCAATTTTTTTAAAAAAAAAAGTGTGAGATGTACATTTTGAAAATGTTTAGATTTCTACTTAAGGAAACTCCCACCTTTTTAATTCAAATCTAAAATAATCTCTTTTGTGAAAATATACCTGTTTAACTATTTTTATTTGATTAAGTATAAGGATTTTTAATTTATGTAAATCATAGATGGTAACAGACAGACATTTCTGTTACAAAAATGGCAGAGGAGCTTGCACACCATAGATTTGGATATATGTTTTTTTAATTCCTCATCATTTCACTTTTTTCAGACATGAGAGGCATTTTCCCATCCATGATATACTATTGTCTATTCTGCAAACAATTCCATAACATGCAGTATGGCATTGAATTGAGTGTAATGCAGTATGGAGCCCAGTGGAAGCACTTGCATGTGTAAAATTCTGCAAAAGGCTACTTCCATTTTTTATAACTAATAATCAGCATATAGTGTATATTTAATTTTTTTCAATGAAAAGATGATTGCTTTACCAACATATATAGCACATGAGAAAAGCTAAGCCTCAAGGCTCACTTCTAATAATGAAAAAAATTTTCAGTATTATAGAATCACAGAATCACAGAATGGTTTCAGCTGGAAGGGACCTCAAAGCCCATCTAGTTCCAACCCCCTGCCATGCCATCTGGTCCCACCCCCCTGCCAGGGGCAGGGACACCCTCCACTAGCCCAGGTTGCCCAAAGCCCCATCCAGCCTGGCTATATCACAAACTAAATTTTAATTTTTTTTTTTTTTTTTAATTAGAGTTAACAGATACAGAAAATTTAAATATTCTGTTTTTGCAAAGGCTGCAGATATTTCAGTTTTACTGCTAGAATTATCTCAGTTACATACTACATACAGAAGCAAATGACTTTCTTTCCCAGTGTATTAGCTATGAAATTAAATCTACGCAATTATACTATTGTTTCAAAACAATGCGTCCTTTGCTTTAACATGCAGTCTATATGTTAATTTCAGAAATAAACAGAATACATAATTAACACTTCCAACACGTCACAATGTGTTTCTGGGTGTTGTTGAGCTGGCGAAGCTGAAATGCCCAGCGTGTTGGTGGAGATGAGCCGCAGCTCTGCCAGAGGACCGAAGGAAAAGGCACCAGCTCTTACCTGCAGGCTGTTGAAGATGATGAAGAAGACTAACATCCAGAGGTGCCGGTAAGCCATGTGCAGTCCTCCCCACAGCCAGGTGACAGAAATCAGGGCAAAGAGGTACAAGACCAAGGGGATCTCTGAAAACCACAAACACAGCATTTCAGCCGGTGCGCCCAGAGAAAAACACTTTTTAAAGCATTACTGATGCGGGACCCAGGTTCACCATCTCTGGCCAACCTTGGAGTTCCTTCTCCAGC